TAAAAAAAAAAAAAAAAAGATCATGGAATTCTTCCAGGAATGTTTTGAACCCCCTTGTATGTTATCCACAGTCTTCCTTGTTGTCCCCTCTCTCCATTTTATTTGGTTCTCTGCAAGAGTAGACACAGCCAACCATGCAGCAGTTTCCCCACGTGCACTTCATCCATACCTGTCACCTTCTTCGAGTTGTCCAATCATTCTCAGGCACTGCAGACAACTTCTGAGTTGCTCCTCCATCATTAACATGCCCTCGCTGCCCCTGAAGTTCCTTATCTAAACTGTTGTCAGTTTGATTACGGATAAATAGTTCTTAAGAGAGCATAATCGTTAGGCCGACTTATCTAACCAGTTAAGCTGAACTCTCCTTCAGGGAAGCCATAGTTCCTTGAGTGCCACAGAACCACCAAAGTCAATAAGACACATGCCTATCTTCTAGAGCTTGTCATCCACCAGAGGCCAATGCTGCCCCGAAATTGCTGTGTGACCTTGGGCGCATCCCCCTGGACCTCAGTTACCACCTCTGTGAAATGGGTGCTTACCGTGCGGGCCTGACTGAAGAGGAAACGCAGCAGGTCCTTGATGTTCTTGGCCTTGTCCCGCTGGAAGTGGACCACGGCCTGCGTGGGGCTGAAGCCTGTGGCCTGCGGCACCTCGGGCCAGCCCAGGTCCAGGTCCGGGGGGTCTACGTCAGAGACCATAGGGAAGTAGGTGCCCGAGGTGACTTCGGAGAGCAGGCTGAGACGGTCGGGCCCCGAGGCCTCAGGTCCCGGGGCCTCCCCAAGCTCGGGGCCTGCCCGCACATGGCTGGTCATGTAGGCCACGTCCAGGGCGCTTAGGAAGGGCAGCTCCCGCTCCTCGGAGATGACCTGCAGGTAGGCAGTCTCGCCCCGCTCCAGGAGGGCATCGGCTGCCAGCCTGGCAGCCTCACTGTGCCGCAGCACCAGGGGCGAGGCCTCTCGCCACCACGGCCGCTTCAGCTCTTCCACCCGGCCCCTCAGGGGTCCCGCCATGCCCTGGGCTCCCAGGCCCCCAGGCCCCAGGCCTCCATACATGCCTGGCCGCTCACCTGCCAGCCAGCTCCATGGCCTGTGCCCCAGCTGGCTGCAGCAGGAAGAAGGCACTAACAGAACCTCCTCCTGCTTGCCTGCCCACCCTCCCTTTGTGTGTGGCAAGATCCCTAAGCTGCTGCCACCTTAAGTCAGAACCAGACTCCACCCCATTGCCCCTGGCCTCGAGAACCTGTCAGGTCAGCCCATCCGTCTGCCCACTGTTGGGACTCGCCCGCCTGGGGAAGCAGCTGTGCCAGGCCCTGAGCACTCCCACCCCCAACCCACCCCAGCATCTCCTGCCCCACCCCCACCAGCCTGCTAGCAACTTTCCCCAAAGCCCTGACCATCCAGGCCCCTCTGTGGGGACGGAATCACAGCCTGGAGAGGTACACACCTGCAGAGGGACCTGGTGACTCACACAATGAGCTAAAACTGTAAACGCACACAGGCCCGCTGACATGCAAACCGACACACAGACAGTTGATAGACCCCACAGACGTGACACACGTAGACCGTGTGTTTTGGTCTAACCCATTCACCTAAACTGACCTGAACACAAACTCAAGAGACTGCCTGGAACCCCAGTACACCATCGCAGATGCCCGACAGCTCAGCAGAGCCTGGGAAAAGGCACCAAGAAGGAGTTAAGAACCCCCAAAGACAAAGACTCCCTGCCACTCACCACCTCCAGAACAGTGGCTCCCACAGCCCCCCGCCCAGCCCCCCTCCTGGCTCTGAGCCCATGCTCCAGAGGCCTTGAGCTGGGCTCCAGTAGCCCAGGAAGTGTACGATGCAGATGCGCAGCCTCCACCCACTGGGACATTCTGAGGCAGATGGCCCGGGGAGCTGCTGGAGTGGTCACGGGGGCAGTGGTCCAGGCCCACCGCTTGAGAAATGCTGTTCGAGATGGCTGCGTTTCCAGTGCGTCCAACTCCAGGGCAGCTCTCCCCATTTGGAAGTGAAGATGCTCCTTTCAGAAGGTGGGAGGGTACACTCAAGGTCAAGAGGCAAAAGGCATAAGCAGGGTTCTGATCTCTACCCTCCCCTCCCCAAATTGCCAGCGCCTGCCCAGCCTGCCCTTGGGAAGATGGGTGACACTTTGCTCTAGAATAAAAGGGCTGGTGATGGCAGCTGTCGGGGAGGCCATCCAGGCAGAAGTGACAGAATGGTGCCCGCACCAGCTAGAAGCACCACCTTCGGAAGGAGGGCTGAGGTCCTACGAAGATGGCCGGGCTGGGTGGAGTGAGGACCTAAGGCATGTCTCAAAGCCTTAGCAGCCCCTCTTGGCCCCGACGGCACCGACGTTCCTTGGCCGGGCCGTCTGTCCATCCCCCAGCACAGACTGTCTCGTTGCTCTGTATCCACTGGTCTGGGGTGAGGAGCACACAATGCTCTTAGGGCAGGTTTAGGGTGTTGAGCGGGACACGGGGAACCGGAGATGAACCTGCTGGGACTGTCTTTGAGGGGTGAGGGGCCCATAGGACAAGAACGGAAAGGTGAGCTGTTCTGGCCCAAGCAGAGAACTGGAGCATCAGGCCCTCTGAGGAGGCCCCTGGAGGCTGAGGAAGGGGCAGGGGTGAGTGAGCAGAGCCAGACTGTGGGAGGTAATGAGCTGTGGGGCAGCCGAGGCTGCAGGGCCCTCATTAGGGCCTTATCGCAGGTGTGTTTCAAGGGGAAGCCAGGCCTTATCTGGGTCGCAGGACTGCCCCTGGGGCAGAGGGGCAGGCTCTGTTCTTCATGATTGGGTTTCTGTTTGTCCAGCAGTGTGTACAAGTCTAACCGATGGAACATGTTTGGGGTTCTGTATTTTTGTACTTTATACATCCCTCCATGTCCGAGTGTGTATTCAATGCCACTTTTGTAGCTACAAATCAGCCAACTTCAGAGGATTCTACTAAATATGAGGGGCTCCCCAAAGTTCCTGAGAAACATCCATTATCTTTTGATTCCAATTCCATGAATCAGAGTTTGACACTGGCTACCACCAGGGGCCCAAACATGACAATGGTGAGGATGGCGCAGGATGGGGCGGGGTTTCATCCTGTGGTCCAGAGAGCCGCTATGAGTCGGGACCAACCCGACGGCACCTAACTCCAAGGACCAACACAGACCTACCTACACGGGTGTGCACAGCTGTACCTGTGCAGGCCTCCTGGGACAGGACGAGAAGAGCTGTGTCAATCACATGACTACCTGGCGGCCTGCCTATAGGTTCCCAAGCTTATTTGGCTCACCGCCCCCTTTGCAGAAAAAAATTACTCAGAGCCCCGCCCCCCTGGCAATGAATAGGACCAAGTATAGGTGTCCGATTTTGCAGGCCCCTTAGATTGTTCCAGCACCTCCAGCTCCCCACCCTCACCGCCTGGGCGGTTTCACCTCCAGATGCAGGTCTGGCATCTCTATCTGGGTGGGCTGGTCCCTGAGCCTAACTCTGGGCGTGGAAGGTGGAGGCTGAGCGTAATTGGGAGGGGCAGGGGCAGTGGTGGACACGTAGATGGGAAGAGGACTCCAGAGAGTCTCTATCATCCTATAATAATAGCATGTTAGTAGAATCGAACACCCAGGGCTGCGGAAGTGAGTAGCTGCCCTCCCTACAGATGGAGTGGATAACAGGGTAAATGGGATGGGGGTGGGCATAGGCCTGGGGACGGGCCTGGGGGCGGGTAGCTCCGGGTGACAGGAACCATACAGACAGACCTAAGCCCAGGTCCTGGCTGCAGTGCTCCGGGGCACAGGCCCCTTAATGACTGTTATTAAGCAGCAAAATATTTTCCCGTCCAGATGTGTCAGACGCCTGCCTGGCATCGCTCTACCCACCTTGGGGCCATTTAGGCTCCTTGGTCGCCTCTCACAGGTTGAGCGGCGCCTGGGCAGTGACTGTAGGGTGGGGTGGTGGGCACAGAGGCTGGACCGAAGCCCCTCAATCGCACACTTCATTCCCTCAGGTCCAGGGAGATGGAGCCCACCGCTGAGTGGCCCAGGCCTGGGGGTGGGGTGTGGCGGGAGCCAGAGTCCAGAGGGCTAGAGGACCAAAGGGACTAGTGGTGAGGATGGAGGTGGGCTGGCGCTGGGCATTAAAGGATGGGAAGGGTGCAGAACGGGAAGGGCAGGGTGGCCAGTGGGAGGAGCTGAGGCGTGAGGGCATGCCCATGAAGGCAGGCAGGGCCTGGGTTCAGAAAGGGGAAAGCCCCAGCCTCGTCTGGAACCAGGCTAGGAAGGTCTGAGTGCTTGGATAAGGGGCGAGGCTCTTATTGGAAAGATGATAGACTAGATGCCCAGACCTGTATTTTAGGAAAACTTCCAGAAACAATCCCAAATGGGTGTGGCTTGCTGTTCCCAGTAAAAGAGAGGCTGGGGGTAGGGGGTGGGGGAAGCAGGTTGTCCCTGTTGTGGGTTCTGCCTGCATCCTCCCAAGCCAAGGGCTTCGCACCCCTAGGGACTTGGGTTGTGCCACTGGACCCAGAGTTAGACCCCATGAGTTTGGACCCTGACTTTGGCATTTACTAGGTGAGCTGAGTAATCAGAATTTAGTCTTCGTGACTTCATCTGCGGAATCGGACTAACACCAGCGCCAACCAGAGTTCGCTTAAGCAGTTGTAGCTCAGGACCAGAGGAGCGCTGAGTTATACTTTCAGCTGATCATGAAAAGGTGAGACGTTCGAAACCACCAAGAGAAAGATGAGGCTTTCTACTTCCTAAAACGGTTACAGTCTCATGTGTTTAAACCATTGAAATGGACGGTCTGGGAATTGTGTCAATAAAACTGCAAAAAAAAAGAGAAAACAGAAGAAGAGTTACAGTCTTAAAAACCCAGAGGCAGTTCTACTCTGGCCTATAGGGTCACTGAGTCGGGATCACGTCAGTGGCAGTGAGTGAGCTCAATATGTGAATGCAAACCTTTCTGGCTGGGAAAAGGCAGAGGCCCAGTGAAGGTCCGATGATTAACTAACAGCAAAACCAGAGGCCTCCGTGGCCAGTCTCCTGGCTTCCTGCTCAAAGGCTGGCCCTGCGGATGAACGTGGCCCCCAGGCCACTGCCTTGGAATGTGGTTGCTTCTGCCCCCTTAGCCCCTTAGCCCACCTGAGCTCCCCAGGAGGCCAGGTCCTCCCTCAGTGTGGCACTCACACAGACAAGCATATATGCTTCCCTCTCAGCACACCCGCGCAATCGTTCAGAAGATGGCTGGCCCTGGATACAGATGCAGATGCTGTGGTGATGGGGCCTCAGCCTTTTCCCTCAGCCCCTCCTCTCACCCACCCCTCATCTCATCTTGAAGCGGGGAGGTCTTATCCCCACTCCCCAGGTAGGAGGGGATCCCCACTCCACAGTCCTCCAGGAGTGGAAGAATGGCTTCCCCGATGTAACGGGGTAAGGGGCTGGCTCAGGTCTGTCTGAATTTCTCTCTCTTTTTCCCTCCTGGTTCTGTTGTCCATAAAAGTAACCATTTCTCCTTTCATCTACATGACAAACATGTGTGTGTGTGTGGGGGGGTCCTATTGCTGCAGCTGCAAAGAACAGACTTGGCATTTTTGTATGTGAAAATCTTTCTCAAATTTTACAATAGTGGTCTCATAAAGTATTTGTCCCTTTCTGATGTTTTTATTTCCCTCAGCACAATGCCTGCAGGTTCATCCATTTGGTGGCTCAGTCATTGTATTCTTCGAGGTTGCATAATATTCCATTGCGTGGCTATACGATTGTGTGTTCATTCATTCTTCTGCCGATGGGTACTTAGCCTGTCTCTATCATTTTGCTCTTGTGAATAGTGCTGTACATGGGTGTGCACATATCTATTTATGTCATGGCTCTTACTTCTGGAGGGAATATACCAACTCGGAGGGATTGTTGGGTCATATGGTATTCCTATTTCAGACGTGTTAAGGAAATGCCAGGCCATTTTCCACAGTGGCGGCTGCTCCATTTCAGTGGATGAAGGTCTCAGTCTCCTCGCTTCCTGGCCAGTATTTGCTGTTTTTTGTCTTACTGCGCTTTGAGATTATTGC